CCCCCCCCCCCCCCCCCCCCCCCCCCAACTTCCTGAAAGGAAAGTTGGATAGCAAAAACAGTAATAGATCTGTAAGTAGCAATTGAAAGTACTTATTGGTCCAGAATAATTGGGGAGAAACCTGAGATGGGAGGGGTTGTGTCTGCATGACAGGACAGAGGGTCCCAAGAATTCCTTTTTGTTTTTGATTTATCAGAGCTACCAGGCCTTTGCTTTTTCTACACTGATTAAGAAGGACATTTATACTCACACACTGGCAGAGTTTGTCCTTTTTGTGTCTGGGCTTTCCATTTGATTTCCTCAGTGTCTCTTTTCCCTTCCGTTGCATACTAGCAGAACCTCCTTTAAATGCTCATTTGTGATTGCGCTTTTGTTTTCTCCTTTTTCTGTAGAGTCCATTCCCCTTGAAAGGTCTTTAAAAGGTAACCTGCCAGGCACCTAAAGATTGAAATTATTTAGGTAGAAACAATGTATGATTATATATAGATCTGTGATACTAAATATATTTTGCTGATCCTCAAAACTTAAAGTAATGGTACATTCCAGCTTTCCACAAAGCGTCAGAGGTACAGGCTCTTTGTGTCCGCCCTTCCAACTCAGAGTAGCTAAAAATGAGCTCTCAGTGCCTATGAGGCTTTCCCAAGTCACTGGGAGCCTGGGTAAAGGGCACAAGAAAAACCACCAACCCACTGACATGGAGCCTCTCTGGCGCTGGAGGTTGAGTTATCCCTCCCTCCCTTCTTTTCTTTTTTTTTTTCTTTTCTTTTCTTTTTTGGTCATCTAGGCTGGAGGGCAGTGGCGTGATCTCGGCTTACTGCACCCTCCTCCTCCTGGGTTCAAGCAATTCTGCCTCAGCTGGGGACTGGCTGTAGCTGGGGCTACAGGCGCACGCCACCATGCCCCACGAATTTTTTTGTATTTTTGGTAGAGACAAGGTTTCACTTTGTTGGCCAGTCTGGTCTCAAACCCCTGACTTCAGGTGATCTGCCCGCCTCAGCCTCCCAAAGTGCTGGAGTTGAAGGCGTGAGCAACTGTGCCCAGCCATAAATCAGTTCTGTCCACTTAACTGAGAGTCACTCAGCTGTAGTTGTGCTAGGTACCGTTCTGGGCACTGAGTGTCTGGCACTGAGCAGAGCAAGGGTGGGTCCCTGCTCTCCCAGAGCTTAC